ATAATAATAATAATAATAATAATAATAATCATAATAATAATATAATAATGATAATAATAAAAATAATGATAAAAATAATAATAACAATAATAGCAAAATCAACAACAACAACAACAACAAGAAATAATTTTAATAATAATAATAATAACAATAATAACTTACTTAATATGCCTAATGATATAAATGAAGTCGTTAAAGCAGTTAATAATCCATGCGAGTGGTTATGATAACATAGTAAATAAACAGATTAAGGCCTCTCTATCTTTGATGAAACATGTTTATGTCAAATTATTCAACGTAGTGCTTGATACGGGTCTAATCCAAGAACACTGGACAGTTGGAATCATTAATCCAATCTATAAAAACAAGGGTGATTCTGCAAAACCAGAAAAGTATAGACAATTTACATTATTAAGTTGCCTAGGCAAAGTTTTCACAAGCATATTAGATAAAAGAATCACTGATTATGTAGTGTCAAATGACATTGTTAATAACACACAAGCAGGATTTAGAAAAGGTTTCTCAACCTCAGATAATATATTCATTTTACACCATATCATTCAATATTTAAATAATACCGGAAAAAAACTATTTTGCTCATTAATTGATTTAAAACAGACATTTGATACTGTGTGGAGAAACGGTCTATGGGAAAAATTAATTCATGCTAATATAGAAGGAAATTGTCTGCAGGTTATACAAAATATGTACAAAGGAATTTAATCATGTGTGAAGGTAAATTCTCAGATATCTAACTTTTTTCTCTTGTAATATAGGTGTTCGCAAAGGGGAAATTTATCCACCTTACTCTTCTCGATGTATTATAATGATCTCAAAGATTTCTTTCAAAATAATAGTAATGCACGTGGAATTTTGCTTCATAATGATCAGAATATAAACGAGCTTTACATTTTTTTACAATTCTCTAATTTTGTTATATGCAGATGACATTGTTATTATGGCTGAGAGAGCAAACATAGCACTGTATACATATGAAAGATATTGCGATATTTGGAAACTTACGATCAATATTTCTAAAACCAAGATAATTGTATTTTCAAAAAGGAGACAAAGAAATTATCATTTCACTTATTAAAATGAACCAATCGAAATAGTAAATGAATATAAATACCTCGGCATATTTTTAATAGAAGTTCTTTCGCTAAAACTAAGACACATATCGCAGAACAAGCTAGAAGATCGATGTACAGCCTGGTAAGAAATTCAAATAGATTAAATTTACCAATTGACTTACAAATTGAACTTTTTAATAAAACTGTTCATTCAATATTTCTTTATGGTTCTGAAATATGGGGATACGGTAATCTTGACGTTATTGAACGCGTACAACTCAATTTTTAAAGCATATCCTGTAACTTAAACGTTCGACGGCCAGTTATTTCATATACGGTGAAACGGATGCATGCCATTGTCTTTAGATATCGTGGAAAGAACAGTTACATTTTACGCGCGTCTCCTTCGGAACGAAAATGGTTTAATACCAAATAAATTATCATACTTTGTATACCATCATATGCTAAGAAATACAATAGATATTAATGATAATGATTTTGAACGTAATTATCCGTAGATTTATAATTTAAAATAAATACTAATAAAATGCGGTATCAACAATGTTTGGATTGATCATAATTTTCCCGGTACCAATTTTTTAAAATTAACAGTAAAACAAAAGCTAAAAGATCTTTTCTTACATGAATGGTATTAAAAGATAAATGAATCGAGCAATAGTTCTTTTTACAGTATCTTTTAAAAATCTTTTGGAATCGAACCTTATCTTTCGTACTCCCACAGTGCAATGATTTTTTATTATGTCAAATTCAGAACAAGAAACCATAGATTACCAGTTGAAACTGGAAATTGGTCAAATATACCTGTAAATAAAAGAATGTGTATTTTTTGTCGAAATATAATCGGTGATGAGTTTCATTATCTTTTTGAATGTAATAGATTTTCTAATGAAAGAAGACAATTTGGAAAACCTTATTTTAATAGACGTCCTAATATGTATGAATTAGAACAACTTTTTACAATGAAAGATTCACCTGCATTTTATAAATTATGCAAATTGTTAATGATAATTATAAGAAATATAAGAATGTAATCAAATATTTATATTTTTTTCATTTTAAAGTCAGTTGTGATTTTGTAATGTTCTGAGATATATTTTTGTTTTACTGATATTCACTTACCACTTTCTTACTATACAGCAAATGTATTTTATGTCTCACATATACTTTTATTTTCATTTCTCATGAGACTAAGTCTTTGCTGTACTTTTATAGTATTAAAAGAATTATCACTGGCTTATTACATGAATCATCTTTCATTTCAACTGTTGCTTTTTAGAAATAAATACAAGTATAGTGAATTAGTATTTTGTATGGTAGCTAAAATACTACTTTATTTACATTTTACAACTTTGATGTCAAATCATGTCACATTTATAGCTACTTTCTCCTTGTGACAAATATCTTACATTCTGTTTAAGAAATATTTAAATGTTGTAAAATAAGAAGTTTAAAAAAATATTTCTATGGCAAAATATACATATAACTAAATAATATGTATAGAAATGTTGATATTGTTTAGTAATTATAGTTTGATCTCAATTTGTACAAATGCCCCGTTAAACATTTTGACATTATCCTTATATAACATGTTGTGTACATGTTTGAGTGAATAAAATATGTGTTGTTGTTGTTGTTGTTGTTGTGAAAAATGATTGTTTTTCAAAGTCGCATAAATTAATTTGCAAGGACAATATTGAACACAATGACCATTTCCTACTTACAAAATTTAACAATGACGTAAATATTACACATTTTCTTTATTATATGCAAATGTGCCGTATTGATTAAAAATCCAAGTAAAATGCAAATTTGGATGTGACACTCACAAAATTAAGAAGTATATTGGCTATTTTTTGAGAGAAAAAAATGAACTGAATATCTTAAAATTATTTAGAAAATAATCAAATTCAAGAAAAACTTATTCTTATTGGTGTTCATCAAAGTGCGTTATCATTAAAAAACAAAACAAAGATAAGGTATGTATTTTCATGGTTTGGTTAAAATATATTGGAATTAACAAAATTCTTGACTGTATGTCAATTAATGAATATTACATATCAGTTCATAAATGACAAAATAAATTCTTTATTTTGTGTTCCAATTCAAATAGCCAAAACAATATTAACTTAATACTAATCTTTTCTCTTTAATCTTCTTTTTAATAATATTTTATCAATATAGACAATTATCAACAAATTATTTTAAAAATACCAATCTGTAACACGTTTACATTTTCTTCAAACCTATTAATAAGATAACTTTCCATTACACTTTCCCTGTAAAACGGCTGCTTTATTGCTTGCTGTTTATTTTGTGCATTATACATTTCATACTTCTTTCTCGTTGAGCATTCTTTCTTATTATCTTATTGTATATTTGTATTTCCTTTTTGTTCATAATTGTATCTCTTATTTATCAACAAAAATGAATCGTGATATTTACATCTAATAGCAAAAAAGTAAATGCACGGATAATATATACATATACGTATACATATTTGTTATTTGGTTTATTTATTTCTTATCAGTTCATAAATGACAAAATAAATTCTTTATTTTGTGTTCCAATTCAAATAGCCAAAACAATATTAACTTAATACTAATCTTTTCTCTTTAATCGTCTTTTTAATAATATTTTATCAATATAGACAATTATCAACAAATTATTTTAAAAATACCAATCTGTAACACGTTAACATTTTCTTCAAACCTTTTAATAAGATAACTTTCCATTACACTTTCCCTGTAAAACGGCTGCTTTATTGCTTGCTGTGCATTTTGTGCATTATACATTTTATACTTCTTTCTCGTTGAGCATTCTTTCTTATTATCTTATTGTATATTTGTATTTCCTTTTTGTTCATAATTGTATCTCTTATTTATCAACAAAAATGAATCGTGATATTTACATCTAATAGCAAAAAAGTAAATGCACGGATAATATATACATATACGTATACATATTTGTTATTTGGTTTATTTATTTTTTTCAGCTCAAAAAGTGTATGTAATAAAGATACAGATAGAAAATCCAATAATTGTCAGGATAATATTTCATTAAATAGTCTAAGTACAAGCATTGTTGATCAAATAAGTTCTTTGCACAAGGACACATTTTCAAGCATATTGTTCTTGCAAATGTAAATCCCGATTGGATTAAATTGTAAATTAATAATACTACCTGATATACATAAAACAGTTTGGGAGCAATTAAGCTGAAACCTTTAATTATATTGCCATGTTGCAATATCATCAAGATATAATTTTTAATATGAGAGAAGGGAAATCTTTATAATCATGAAGTTGTTTTTATGTCAAATGTCGATTAAAATATGTATGAACCGAAATTTGATATAAGGTCCATTTAATCGCAGAAATGCTATCATTTTTTGTTCTCAAAAAAAAAAAAAAAAAAAAATATAAAAAATATAAATAATAACGGACCTTTTTTGCTTTTGCTTCTTTATGTTGGTTGGCAATTTAGTATTATTATAGTTAATAAGTATTTTCTATGAAAGTTGAAATTATAATTTGTTTACTCGTTCAGCGCAATTTTCCTCATTTGTTAAATATCTTTCATTCTCTAAATCCATTATTTAAACATTTTACGACCATGTTTGACATTTCTAAAGAATATAAAATGATATGGATTTCAGAGACCTAATGTTAATTAAATGATTTGTAAATTTGAAACAAATTATAATGTAAAATTTAACGGATATGAGTCAAGTATAAATCTGCTACAGGTTTGAAAGAGACAAGTGAGATTGTAATTGGTTTGTGAGACTGTTAAAGTAGATGTGATGTATTGGCAAATAACCATTCATCTTACAAAAATGCATATACGAGTAACTAACATCATTTGATAATGCATATATGTGCACAAAATATTTAAAAAAAATCTTACCGTAACTCTTTTAATCCATGCTTATGTTCACTGTTCTATGTTGTACATTTTAAACTGCAATGTCAAACTGTTTAACTGTCATAATACATAAATACAGTAAAAAGCAATAAAATAGGTATCGCTTTAACATAAACATCATTTAGTAAGCTCAATGTGCTCGATCTGTTTCACTTGCGGGCGCAAATGACTGTTTTGAATAAAGGTTTCACAGTCCAATGGAAGAATGCGTTGTGCTGAAAGCCAATAAAATTCTTACACGTTAAGACCTGTCACTTTATAGATATGGTGGTTTCCTAATTTTAATGAAAACATCACAGCACACATCAGGTCTCCGAGTTTCGTCCCTTCGCTTAATTGCTATAATGTTACTTAAATTTTATTTATTTCCAGTACATGACATTAAGGTTTTTTCATGAACCTTCAATTCTTACACTTATATTAACAACAACAAAAAAGCGTTGGACACAATCCAAGATTTATACTCAACAAGTATTTTTTAATTTTTTTTAGGATGTTTTGAAATCGACGGGTCACCATGTGATTAATATTCTTCAACTTACAATGAAACGTAAGAGTAGATTCTGTTCTTGTCCATTTTTATGCGCCCGAAAGGAATTCGGCTTATATTGAAATTAATCTAATCGGCCGTCCGTCCGTCTGTCCATGTTTCTCCTAGCAAGTCAGTGTCCAATCTGTATCTTTTGAACCGTTGATAGAAAATTAAAATTGCTTGGCATAAATGTTAACCATAAGGACAATATGTTCATAACGACAGTTTGACCTTTCTTAGTTCAGGATCAAAGTCACATTTAGACATTTTTGTTCGAATTTCAAACTTTCGTGTACGTTAAGTATCTTTTGCACCAGTGAACTTAATAAAAATTTTTTGGGAGAAATGTTACTTATCATGACACGACGACATGAATACACAAGGTCTGGACAGTCTCCGATTTCAATAGGCCCCGCTTCAGGATACCTAATTTATAATTATACTTAATTTATAAGGTTTTATATTGGTTAACTCATTTAAGTCTTTTGTAAAACTACAATACCAAGAGATTTTATATTCAACATCTGGCATTGCTCTGTAATATTCGTCAAAAGTGATATTAGTCCCTTGGGTCAATATTGGTTCTGCCCTGGGGGTCTCTTGTTTGAAAAAGGCTTATTTATATAGGAAATACTTAATAGTATTAGTCTGTGAAACAACTATGCACCAAGCTTAGATATTTGACATACAGGTTTGCTCTGTAGACATCTTCAAATATAATACCAATCATGCCCATTTGGTCAATATCTGGCTCGCCCTGAGGGGCATTGGTTTATATAGATTAAAATTTGGGTACAAAAAGTTTTATTTTATAAAACTACAATGTACAGAGTTTAAATATTTGGTATGTAGCATAACCTTGTAGACCTTCGCAAAGTACAGAGATGAAATATTTGGTATGTAGCACAACCTTGTAGACCTTCGCAAAACATATACATATCATACCCCTTGGAAAAGAATTTGCCCAGAAACAAGGGTCACTTAGTTAGTATAGACTGATAAGGATCACATATTTAAGTTTAATGGTGTGTTAACTAAAATGCACTAAAATGCAGTCATTTCCTAGACTACTACAAAAGTTGTATTAGCTATGACCTTGAGGTTGAAGTTAACTTTGCCCTTGGGGGTCACGTGCCTGAAAATTGATGCATTAGAAATTATATAAATTCTTTTTGTGGAAAACGGTAGGGCTCAAGGTAATAATGTATATTTGGCATGTAGCGCTGCCTAGTAGACTTCTATAAAAAGATTTATAAATCATGCATCAAGGGTCAAATGCTCCCACACTGGGGGTTATTAAGTATCAAACATATTGTTTTGATAAACATGTCGGATGCAGTTTCATAAATGGATCTCCTCCGCAAGTGAACGATTGTTTTTGATTATTCAAACAAAAGTTTCATCCGGGCGTATATGACCCCACGCTGCGATGCACATCAAATTTATACAGCCATGAAAAATGAATCAGCATTATTTAGCAGCAGAACATAAACTCAATCTTTATTTGGTATGTTCTTATAGTTGCGGTTATCCTCCCTACAGTGCTCTTGTTTTTTGCGAACAATATGTATCTTATGGAACGAAAAAATGTTTTGGTAACCATGTAGACCGATGCACTTATTGTGATTGAAAATATAACGTAAAGGACACAAAGAATGGTATACCAAATTATGACTGAAATGGCTGAATTATTTTGCGTATTTCTTTATCTATCCCGTGTCCATAAAACAGGTTTAGAATAAGGCAATACAATTGCGGTCATTACATTTACATTAATTTTATTTCTTTTCCATGAAACCTATTTTTACCCAAAACCAACCTTGCAATGTCACTGGAATGTTGTTTGTGCAGTTATAACCATATATGGAAATATTAAATCAAGTTACAATCTTTTGAATCTCAAACAAAGAAATACACCGGATGTTTCACAATATATATAATTATAAAATATTATTTTTCCTTTTTAAATTAACATATCTTTTATGTCCATGATACAAGATCTTGTTGACTTGAAAAGGAATGACGTGATACAAATGATAAAGCGGGTATCAAAATATTTTTCCTGAAAGGTGAAGTTACAAGTTTGAAACTACATTTTTAAAAGGCTTCTTTGACAAATCTTGACAATTTAACATACAAGTTTCAACAACATAATGTAAGAAAAAAAAAACATTTTTTTTAAGGGAATTCATTTTTGAAAACACAGGAAATGAATAAAAATGAAATTTTATCAAAATATTTAAAAAAAAATATTTAAAGAAAATAGACAACATTTTAGATCAGAAAATAAGTTAATACAATCATTCTCATAGCTATATCACATAACAGTAATGTTACATGATGCAAAGTTTTACATTAAGAATATCTGAAATGCTTTTAAAGTAACATAAAAAATGCATCGTGATAATAGTCATGTGACATGATGTAAAAGCAACATAATGGTTACGTTTATGTAACATTAACAAAAAGCAACGTTGTAATAACGCACAAATATAGCTATGGAACACGATTATAGCTATATGAATATGTCGAAACGCAAAACGACGGTTATTTAATATGATAGCAGTAGAATATGATGTAGATTGAACATATATGTATTGTCATATTGTTTTAATACAACAGTATATAAATGAACCGTGATGATAGTTATTTATTACATGCTTTTCGGTGGTTTATAGAAATGTATCAGTGATTTAAAACTGGTAATTTCACTGTTTGAAACAGTGAAATTACCACTTTGATAATTTCACTGTTTTTGAATTTAAGCCCCTTACGTTGTTTCAGTGCAATACCAGCGTGCACAGTACTGGGAACCAACTTAATGACGTGACGTCGTAAATGACGTCACGATGTATTATTATTTGGCGCGCTTTTCATTCAGTATTAGGTTTAATGTCTTTTTAAAACGTTTCTGTGCATATAATAAAAAGAAAATTTGTTTATTTTAGTGTAAGATCGGAATATATTTCACCTTGTGAACACCAAAAGATCATATTTCACTCGTGGCTGCGCCACTCGTGAAATATACCTTTTGGTGCTCACTCGGTGAAATATATTCCGATCTTACACTAAACTAAACAAATATCCTCTATGTAACATGATGTTAAGAATCATAATATAAATGTAAAACTAAGAAAATGCATCATCAAAAAAGTGTTACATGTTAGTTATGCAAAATGACGCTGGTTATACACGCAAAACAGTTTTGAAATACGACATTATTGTTATGTAACATGAAATTCATTTAACAATATAACAGTTTGACATAGTCTTAATGTAACATATAAGTAATGGCATATGATTGAAATGTACATTAAAAATCTATAAATGCTGACAAACTATTATATAATGTGATGATAATTCAGTAGTTATATAAATGCAATGTGGTTGTAATGTTACATATCATAAATGCATCATGTTGATATTAATTCATTTTAAATTATGTTAACTTAACATAAATGTAAAGGTAATGCATCCTTGTAATAATAAGAGACGTGCTATCGTATGGAAATTGAATATATGTTCATAACGCAACAAGAACATGCAAAGTGATAACTATTGGATATAAATAGCATTAATAAATATTAATATTGCAACATAAAAGCATGCAAAAGAAGGTCGACTTCAGTTATAACGAACTCGCTTATAACGAATTATTGTTAATAGCGAACTTAATCTGACATCCCCGGCCGATTCCGTCTTTATTTTATATTCAATCACATCGCTTGATACGTACTTGCTTAAAACGAATTTTCGGCTATAGCGAACCATTTTTTTAAGTCACAAACAGCGAAAAACATGTAAATTTCCTCGGTTTCAACAAACTGTTTTAATTGAAATATCTGGATGCTGTCGATTTAGATCAGTACATGAATACCGCTATCTGATAATGATTCAATCGAGTGATTGGACAGGTAAGAATAAAGATTTTGATAAAATGTTGTCGAAACATAATTTCCTACTTGTTACGGAAAATTTGTGTTTCGCACCCTCAGTTGATAAATTGCTGCAAATACATGAAAATTACCACATAAATGATTTTTTGTTTGCAATACTAACCAAACAATAACAAACGAATAGTAAAAGAATACATATGGTAAGCACTTTATAGGCAAGCACTACATGTCTAAATACATGTACCATGTGCCATGTGCATAATATATTGTTCAATAAAATGACCTGCATTAAATTTTTGAGGCCGTAAAATAACAATTATATTGGTAACCAGTAACAGTTATGCCATTTTAAACCCAAACAAGTCAGCAAAATGTTGCTACTTAGCTTCTAGCGAACTTCTGATATTACGAACGATATTTAAATCTCCTATTGAGTTCGTTATGAGCGGAGTCCATATAAATGGACCATAATAAATCATAATGATGTCAAAATATCGAAAATGCAACATAAATAAAATGCAAAATGATAAAAATTCAACATGACTGAAATTTCAGATGCAGAAAATGTAATTCGGATAATTCACGACAGTTAATTCAAGATAATGGTATGATGCGAAATGATTTTAAAGCAGCGAATTTATAGATAATAAAAATAGAAAATAGAAAATAAATTTGTTATGCAAGAAAAAGGTAGTGCAAGATGATGTTTTTGAAGATAATGGTAATACAAGCTAAATGCATGGCAAGGTAGTGGTAATGTTAG